AAGGAAGTCGGATCACGACACAATCGCAACGATTGCCACGTGACTGGGTCGTGCAAGGATCGATCATGGCACTATGGAATCGAATAATAGAATTATGTAATAAGAGTAGTGTGAAAATCAAATAGCGATTACTTCGTCATGAGAATTTTTAATAGTTTTTCCTTAATTTGTATTTATCATTTTTATTATGTAATAAGTATGTAAGAATGTATAAAAGAAGGAAGAAATTAAATAAATCAAACTCAGTTAGTAAAGTTATTATTTCTCGGCCATAATCAATTCCGCCTCACCATAAACACTTAATACCGTTACGCGAATCTGAACTTTCCTTAGCGACAGACTCGCCGACCACTGTGACAATAGACCTTTTACTGTGAATCTTAATCCCAAACACGCATCGCACGTATTGCTGACGCATCCAACGCTGGCACTTAGTCTCCCAGACATTAGTGTCTTGATACAAAGCCACCTCGCATACTATCCTTGCATGTGGGTTTCCCTGTGAAATACATTAAAACAAATACAATAAAAATTATACACCAAATCAAAAAACTTACAATTTTATCACTAGGAGGAGGTCCGGGATACGGAAGAGTAGGCTTCGGAATATAAACCTCACTTGGATACACGGCAATGTCTGGTTCAATCTTTTCTCCATTTCCAGATGGACAATAGTGAACTATAGTATGAATGAGAAAATATCAGAAAATAGATTACAAGCCAAAGATCGAAATTTACTTACATGGTTGACCTAAAACTTCTATTGGAGAATTAAAGATAGCACCACCGTTAGGAAGATTTAAAAAACCTTGTAATAGCCAAACAAAAAATCCATGTTCTCCATCAGCCATATCAATAATGAATACGTCGCCGTTATCTCTTAATTGAAACATGTACCCAGATGACTCACAACGATCAAGGAAAGCGTTGTAGTGTTCAACTGATACTTTTGAACCAATTTGGAGAGGCAACCTGCAATAAACTCGAGTTAATATTAAAAAAAAATAGCGTACGTGATGTTTACTTACTGATTTTCATCAAACGGTTCATCCGGCAATTGAAGAACCTTCAAGCGTGCTGTGGATTTAAAAGACATTCAGAATTAAACTCAATTGGCGTAAAATTTTCGTCATTACTGTACAGTTTTATGTTCCAGAAACGTGATTATCGATCAAAAATTATACTTCCGACAGATACGAATCCGATAATAAGACCGGAAATTAATGCAATCAGAAAAAAGATTCCGGTAATAAGTGATACAAAAGAAGAAGCTTTGGATTTTATGTAAGTAGGTGGACGATCCAAGATATGAAAAAGATAATCGGGATGCTGGTGAAGGTGGCCACCAGATATGTGAACTAACGAACAGAATGTTGGGATCAGGCATTTTATCAACTAATATGAGTCTAGAGCAAATTGGAATCTGAAGAGAAAATTTTTTTTTGTAGAAAACTTGCGGTTATATAAAATCAATCGTTACATAGGATAATATACCGTTTGATGAAATGACTAAGTTGTCGGAAAAGCGGAACTGGAAATATCGCGCAAAATTCATACTGTAAGAGGTAGAATAAAAACAATAGTAACGCGATTTAGGTCACGTGACCGACGATCGACCCGGGATCGCGAGAAGAAAAGGAAGGTAAAAATAGATCTGAAACCGGCGCTT